AGGAAGCACTGTGAGCCTATTCGATTGCAGTACGAGACGCTGTAACTCCGCCAAGTTACCTACAAAACAGCAAACAGATATGAACACAGCTTGCCTCATCACTACCTACACTCCTCACATCGGCGTCGAAACGTGTAATATAGACAATTCACCTCAAGCATGGGATATACGACTACAAAACCATGATCAAAATGCTGCTCCCTTCGTCTCTGGTTCACTGTAGATGAGGTAGACACAGACACACGGTAGATGACAACATGAACTTGATCACCGACTTGCAACTTCCGACTCCATCCCCCGCCATGACTGACTGAAAAGGTCACGCAGTCATTTGTCGTAAAATGATTTTCAAATCGCCTCCACCCCACAAACTCTCCTCCCTTAATCCGCCTCTCACAGCAGTAGAACCAGTACAGTTCAATGCTATCACTGCCAACTAACTTGTTGTAAAGCATCCAGGTCTCCCCTCCGGTCATGAAAACTCCACATAATTACGCTTCAGTGATTCATCAACTCAGTTTCGCAACCATGCTTATCACTATGCCTTCCCTGAAAGCAGAAGCAACTTAACTTCTGCTGCAATTACTAAAATGTGTATTCAATGATTCAGATGATCTAATACACCGATAAGAAGGACAGCTGCGCACGTATTCTTTGGGAATCAACACCATCCATCTACTCACCAATTTCAGTAGGCAAACAGTCCAAGTGATTCCCCTCCAAATCGAGAACCCTGAGCTTGCGCAACTCCTGTATGGAGGGCGGTACCCGCTGAAGAGAAAAGAAACATGCAATCAGGCTGTCAGTCATGCTTACAACCGCTCTAATCAGTGATTGTGCGATGGTGATGGTGATGATGATGGTGGTGGTGGTGGTGGTAGTACTGCTGAGCACTCACTTTCAACATGTTGTTGCTCAGAATGAGCACCTCCAAGTTCACCAGATGGTCAATGTCCTCGGGCAGCTTTGTTAACTGATTTGTACCCAAATTGAGCTCCACCAAACTTGTCCAGGTCTTCACATCTGCAAAACAATTCTCATCACCACTCCATTCCCCTCCCGTGCACATATGATAACACATGAAGCTAACCAACTCACTGACCATTACCATTGCTGCCACTTCCGATTAACAAAAAAAAAAAAGGAAAAGGCTGAAACCCTTCGGATTTTACAACATTACGCATCATATGCTGCCATTACTACGCAATCAATGTGTGGAGCAGCACACCGCACCACACCACAACACAATCTAGTGTAGCATAGCGTGGCGCAGCACATCACAGTGACGTCAAGACCCTTCGGATAAACAGAGAGCTAAGATACCAACGCGACCATCTCATCAATGCCTGTGGACAGACGTACCAGGTGGCAGAGCAGCCAGTTGGTTGTTCTTCATATTCAACTTGGCGAGATTCGAAGCTCGAGAAAAGATGCCGAAAGGAATCTTGGTAATGTGGTTATGGTCCATGTTTATTTCCTATCATGATAAACAAATGTGTCATTTACATGTTTTACGAATTGGCGACACCAGTCTACCAAACATGACTGCCACAACCGACCGCCTCAAACCTCACTGCCCAGCTTCACTCCATACCACCTTGATCAGCACTTCTTCAGCCCTTCTCTCACCAACTAATCAACTCCTTACACACCTATCCCACGACCACTTCAAAAGCAACTCGCACGCAACGATGCAATAAGACGAAATGACTATTGTCCAACGCATCTACTTTTAACATAACGTCCAATACCACTCATGACAAGTCGTATTAACCAACTGCCGCGTAAGAACGCCAGGATCCAAAGAGGAGGGTCCCAACAGAAAGACCATTAAAGCATACCACACACCATTGCGGTATGTGAGTTTGCATCAACCCCAGAAACCAACAAACGCGCACTATGAAAATGTGACAACAAAGTGCAAAGGGCATATTGCCACCTATATAAGTAGGCCTGTGTTAAGGCCTAGACAACAGTTGCTGTAACAAAATTGCTACCATAAACAGCGAACTCGAACCTCAAGTTTAGCAGTTCCCAAATTGACCCATTCAATGCTATTTACTGACTGAGGAAGTGACATATGGACCCATCAAAATCCACCAACATAAATGCTAACATATGAAGTCTACTTCTTATTGCTACACAAAATAATCGACAGACAGTTAATTATTCACTGCCGATCCCCTTCAAGTCGTAGGGACAAATACAAACCCATGCTATGAAGCAATGAGATAAATGTTTGAAACAAGGCAAGCGTTGTGTGACTAAACCAGCTCCCACAAACCAGCCTCCATCCCCCCTCCCGTGCCACACAAGGCACTCCCCATCACTACCGCCCCCAACACCGCCTAAACGCATCACCAACGCAACAATTGATTTAATTCGAGGCCTCGATACCGTCATCCCACTTAAGGTTCTGATTGCATTCTTGCAGCATCTGCATCCGTACGGCTCGATGACGGAAAGAAAGTAATCCCAACGAACAATAATAACTGACTAAAACTGCAACTGCGGAATGTAGATTCGGTCAATAG